TGTGGGCCAACAGTTTTTATGCTAACAGGTTGCTCTTTACTTTACAAAAGAAGGCGGTGAGGTTAATTTGTAGTGTGAATAGAAGAACACATTGTAAGCCCCTTTTTGTGGGTCTTAACATTCTCACATTTCCATCTTTGTATGTTTTGGCAAGTTTGTTATATGTAAAAGAAAATATTTCTCACTTTGAAAAGATATCTGATGTGCACAACTACTGTACTAGATCAAAAGATAATCTGTCTACACCAAGGCATAAGTATACAGCCACTCAAAATAGTTTTGAGTACCAAGGTGTTAAAATGTACAATTTCTTGCCCGCATCCATCAAAAACCTGTGTGTTTTAAAATTCAAACATGTTATAAAAACTACTCTAACCCAGGCTTGCCTGTATAAACATGAAGAGTACTTTGGTTTAGAGTTTTAGATATTTTAGTTGCCAGAGCCATCTTGATTGTTTTGTTTTTATTTTGACGATTGTCATGAACTTTGTACATAGTTTTAACGACAATAAATAATTTCATTTCATTTCAATAAAGTGAACGAGTTATCGTTTATGATTAAATAGTATTATTTGGTTAAACGAGGTTTTAAATTACTGAAATAACAAGAAACAAATTGTAAACAAAGCACGACATCTACAGAAAACTGGACAGAACTAACAATAAAATTGGCTTCAGCCATAGATAAAACCATAAAACATATTCCCATAGATAAAACATACTCCCTATAAGAATGGAAAATCTACATTAATCTAATCGTCATAACAGATCCCACACTCCGCACTGCTAACTTAGCCTTTACTACAATGTATCGAGTAAGCTTCAGTATAATCATTGCTCAATAGTAACAAGTGATGTTTTTGCTTTTGTACTTTATTTTGTAATTTCTAGTATACGGTACTGTGATTAGATGCCTTTATGAACACATGTGTTACAACTTAAAGTCTTTTGTTTACTTTTTCCTTGTTATTTAATTCAACCAACATGGTTACTTAGCAACCCATAAGACTAATGTTAAAAAAATGTGACTTTCAGTTTTATTTTTCTACGTAATTAGATTTTTGTTGGCAGTTCTAACTGCAGTAAACTTGTTTTTAGGCCAGGAATAAACTATTTACAACATTTGAAGAAAATCGTCGGAGCCGTTTTCGAGATCTTTGTGCAAGCAAGCAAGCAAGCAAGCATACAAGCAAACATTCCTCATAATAGAATATAGGATTTTGACAAAAAATGGGGTAATTCACCCCAATGCTATTTTTCAGTATCTTACTATTATCTTCTATCAAGTACCTACACATGTCCAAAATTTTACAATTATTACATTTTGTGTTATTCAATTTACCTAAGTACAGTGCAAAACTCTATTGTCCCAAATCCTAAATACATTTTTTATTTTGCTGACAGTTGTTTAATGTTTGTTTTACAATTTCAAAAAGGTTTTATTAGTATTAAATACATAAAGTATGAAATCTAGCAGTAGAACCATGTACAGTGTTGTATGTCTCCTGTATTCATGCAATACCACAAAAGGCTATGCAGACAGTCATAATTTACAATAATTGCCCATTGCTATGTGACAGTTATTTATTAATCTATAAGCTACATGACAATACCATCATTTAAAAGTTTAAATGGTGCAAATTGGGCAATAAATGGCAAAGTTATTAACATAATATAATATTCACACAAAACTGGCCAATTCTCTTAAAAATCATATATTTCTTGAAATAAAAAGTTAGTTAAACCCAATTATGGCAGTTTTACCATAAAATACCCTTGGTTTGGACAATTTAAATGTATTTGACAGGATTTAGAGCCAGTATAAGGTGTATTTCTTGAAAAATGTCGCTTAATAGTACCCGCGATTGATTTCAGACTATAATGTGGTGTATTAAATTTGATCTCAAAATAGCCCAAATTATTTTTTTAAGTTTTAAATGAGATTTTTTAAACTAAATAATATTTAAGAGTAGTAGAATATAACTAGAGTATTTAACATTTGACCCATTAAAAGTCATTTTTCTAAAGAATAATCCACATTTACGGTAAGTTATAGCTAGTTTCACACGTCATCTTTCCGCAACACCTTTTACATAATTTTTTTACAAATATATAACCTATTACTTTTTGAGTTAACTTTCCTGACAATTTACATATAGTTAAGAGAGGAATTAATGGTTTACCTCAATTTAATTGCATATTTGGGGCTCAAAAATCCATTTGAAAAAATTTTTCAACACAAGGTGATTACTGTTAACTTTTGCCATTTTTCATACAATGATGCAGTATATGGTGAATTATTATTATATTTCTTGGCGATTTATATATTTTAGTTGCTTAAATAACCATGAAATTTGACCTTTATACTTTTGAAATACAGCCAATTGTAAATTTATGGTACAGGTAGTAGACAATGTAGAAGGTAGTTTATGTTGATTTAAACAGAATATTTAGACACCAATAATTGACTTTGTTCAACTTATTTAATTTAAACAAAGTAATATACAGTATTGTCTTAGAGCCTTAGTACAGTGTTTTTAATCTTAGAATGATGGGTACAAGCTTATGATGGACCCGATATGTTGTAAATTTCAATCTTTTGACACTATACTATAAAAAGCCTTTCTTTCATCATAGTTGTCATTGAAAAACTAGTTGATTGTTGTAAACTAGTAATGCAAACTAGTAATGTAAACTGATAAAGTACTTAATTTAAGACCAATTTTATTAGTATCACAAATAACAAATCAACTACCTGCAATGACAGCCCTGTTCCAGCTGATGCAAGATTCTGATAACAGAGAAAACTCTTGGATCATGGAAGAGCACTAGGGCAATAGTACCGTAATCAGTAATCATCAATCGATAAAACCAATAATAAACAGTAAATTCAGTCGATAAACTCCTTAGGCCACAAATACGAGCCGTTTTAGGCGAGTAATTTAAATAAAATTAAAAAAATGTTCTACAGAAAATGATCACGTATATTGGGTGCTATGACATTGACAACAAATAATACAACCTCTAATCGCAATTCACAATTAGTAAATTAAAGTAATAATAATATGGCGTCGACTCAAAATGAGCAATTTTTGCCGAAAGATGAAGAAGAATCGTCCACTCAACAGCTCGATAGGTGGTGAGTAGTTTTGGTTGGATAAGTCAACTGTAAATCGTTTCAAAAATACGAAACGATTGGAAAGTGAGGGACTCAAACTCAACTCAACAGTCAACCATTTCAAAATTAGGGCCCCTGAAGAGTTGGCAACTTTTCATGCGGTATGCGCGTGTTGTATATATCGATGGGTATGCGCAGGGAGGTTGCGCGACGCACCTAACCTTAAAACGTAACGGGACCTTGTCACTGCCAGTACTATCGGTGTGGTCACATCCGTTTCAATCGCAGATTACTCCTCTCATAATGATGTGACATATACCAGATATCATATTTATCTGTAACAACGTTTACAATGAATAAATTGAATAAAACACACAATACAGGCTGATACTTTTACCAACTAGGCTAGTCTGCGCTTTTGCCATCCGTTGGTTTATTTTTTTAGGATCTCATGTGCAAGTTCTGAAGAAAAAAAAACCAAGATGGCAGACTTAAAGTGTTACTGTGATATGACTCCGCTTAATTTTTGATTTTCTTGTCACCTACCTTGTTTTGGCTGCTCGGCTCCGCTGGAGTTTTGCACAACAAACTACACTACAGTGAGTTTATATGTTGATGGGACTCGTCAAGTAATTAACAATCTGCCCTGCAATAACCATCCAAACATCAACCCATCGTCAAACCTAGGCCCATCTTTCGTTCCATTTCCACCGTTCTCGTTGTGACCAAACCTGTCGCCACAGGGGAATCTCTGGACGTCCAAAATCCACAGCCTTCTAGATCTGCGCAGGCAGTACTATAACAAGTGTCGGGTCACTGGGGAGCCGTGTTTCTTCTCTTACATCATGTCTACCTCCTGCCCTATTTGCGTCAAAAAAGTCTTTGATACCGAGGAAGGCGTCAGCTGCGATGGCCCCTGTCAACGATGGTTTCACAGGACTTGCATTGCTATGAGCAAAACAGAGTACCAGCGGATTTCTGGAAATGCCAACGCAAAATGGCACTGCACCAGAACAGATTGTGTGAACACTTCCAACCAACATTATTACGCATTACTCACCTCCCAAATGTCCTCGGTACTGGGCAAACTTGATACTCTACTAGACAAAGTAAATAAAATTGATACCATTTCAAATGATGTAGCTGATATAAAGAACGAAGTTGCTACCATTCGTACTGGATTGTCAGCAATAGAACCTAGAGTGGATCAAATCGAGGTCAGGGTATCCCTGCTTGAATCAAAAGACAAAAATGCATCCCCCTCCACAGATCTGGAAACTACCATAGCTGAGCTAAACGAGCGCACCCGCCGCGCTAAAAACTTAATGATCTACAATCTGGAAGAATCATCTGTGGGTGATGTTGATGCCAGGAAAAAACATGATCTGGAATTGGCCACTTCCTTCTTCTCAACCCTCATTCCTAATTTCTCTAACAATGGGATCAAAACTTTCCGTGTTGGTGGTAAAAAACCTGACAAACCTCGGCCTCTTAAAGTTGTGCTTGGCAGCAATTCCGATGTGATCACTGCAATGAAGAATTTTGCCAGCTCTGGGACCATTTTGAATCCACGATTTTCTTCCGTCAAGCTATCCAGAGACAGAACTCCCCGTGAAGCCGCCCACCTTCAAAACCTCAATGCCGAATTAAAGGAACGCACCACCCGTGGCGAAAAGGATCTCACCATAAGGTTCCTAAACAACATCCCCCAGATTGTTAAAAATTCAAAAAACGAATAATTCCCAACGGCGCACCGCATCACCTCAGTTGTTATTTTCAAAATGTGAATGGCTTAAGAAGCAAAATTTCTGAACTCTCAATCAGTGCTACAACTTCCTCCTACGATATTATCACCCTGGTTGAAACGAATCTCTTACCTGACATGAACTCTTCAGAACTTGGCCTCACTGGTTTTAACGTTTTCAGATGTGACAGATCTTTGGCCACGAGCAATAAGATCAGTGGTGGTGGTACTCTCATAGCAGTACGTGATCACCTAGCATGTCAACTTGTCCCCTTGCATGCCTGCTCCTCGGAATGCGTTTTTGTTACCTGTACTTCTGGAACCCGTCGCATCTTGTTGGGCTCTGTCTATATCCCCCCCAGCCAGCCTGCCATCGTCTATGCCGACTTCTGTGACGTGGTGGAGGATATCCTCTCATCTTCTAACTTCGTGGATGATGTGCTTCTCTTCGGTGATTTTAACAAACCTGAAGCGGACTGGGGTGAGCTTGATTCCTGCGAAGGCGATTCCTCTTCAAACTACCTACGCAACTTAGCTTATACTCACAACCTCTCCCAAATCAACAAAATCCGAAATCGCAGAGGTGTCTACCTGGACCTCATTTTTTCATCTACTCCTACAACTGCAGTCATCCGCGCTGACGACCTTCTTGTTGCCGAAGACATTCATCACCCTGCGCTCTCCTGCTCAATCCTGCTGCAGAAACGCTCAGCCTCGAGGGACGTCAGGATCGTACCTGACTTCAGAAAATGCAACTTGGACGCTGTGTTTCGTGATCTGCAGAACGTTAACTATCCTTCACCTTCTTCTCTACCTGATGTCGAATCTGCCTTCTCTGACTTCTGCGACCACCTTGGCTCAATCATATCTCAACATACACCCACAAAACAGCTTCAATCCTCAAGCTTTCCTGCCTGGTTTACCGAGGAGCTAAAACGACTTGTCTTAAGGAAGAAGGCCACCCATCGACTTCTTAAAACCTCAGGAAATCTTCGTCATCGTGAAAGTTTTCGCAATTTGAGAAGCCAGTGCAAGTCTTTAGCCACCAAGTGTCATCGAGACTACTTAAAAAGAATTGAAGACGACATTCCTCATAACATAAAATCTTTTTGGTCTCACGTCAACAGACTCAAGAGCAGTCCATCCCCTGCTGCTAAACTATCATTTGATGGTAGAGAAGCTGAGTGTGCTGCCGGAAAGTGCGAACTATTCTCAAACTACTTTTCATCCGTCTTCACGGAGAACCAAATTCCCTCGCCTGTCTTCGACTTTGGCTGGAACTTCTCCATCACTAAATGTGTCATCACAGCCTCAGACGTTCAACTCAAACTTGCCTCGCTTGACCCAAATAAGGGAGCCGGTCCTGATGCTATTCCTCCGTGCGTTCTTAAATACTGTGCCCCTATTTTGGCTCCTCATCTGGCTATCTGGTTTACATCCCTGCTCTCACTTGGAAACTTCCCATCGGCCCTTAAGCGTGGCTTTGTCGTCCCCATCTTCAAATCTGGTGATCGTTCAAATGTCAGAAACTATCGGCCCATTGTCATTCTCTCTGCTGTTGCCAAGGTGTACGAGAGCATTGTTTTGGACTACCTCTATTTTCATCTCCGTAAATGTATCTCCTCCTCTCAACATGGCTTCCTGCGCTCACGCTCAACAGTGACAAACCTGATGGAGTTTCAAGAATACGTCATGGCCGCTTTTGGCGATGCTCTCCAAGTTGACTGTGTTTACCTTGATCTCTCCAAAGCCTTTGACAAGGTCAATCACAACATCCTTGTGGCAAAGCTCGCCGGATATGGTGTGGGGGGGCCCTGCTTGAGTGGTTAAACAGCTACTTGACCAACAGAACCCTTGTAGTCAAGTACGACGGGTGCCTTTCTACGCCATTCAGTGTCCTATCTGGAGTCCCGCAAGGGTCCCACCTCGGTCCCTTGCTGTTTAACCTGTTCATGAATGACATTGGCAACGTCATCCTCACCAAGTTTCTCATGTTTGCCGATGATATTAAGGTATTTGGCTCGGTGTCATTGGCTTCTGACTTTGAGCGCCTCCAACTTTCTCTCACTAACATCGACGCCTGGTGCAAGGAAAACTTCATGGAGCTCAACGTCTTGAAATGTGTCGTCATCTCCTACAAACGTGGTGCAGCCCCAGTCCAATATGACTACGTCCTCAATGGTTCTACACTGAAGAGAGTGGAAAGGGTACGAGATCTCGGAGTGACAATGACCCCTTCGCTCAACCCTCACGAGCACATTGCCCACATTACAACCAAAGCTAGCTCCCTGCTTGGTTTCATATTCAGATCAACAAGGAATTTCAACTCGCCCTTCACCTTGATCACGCTCTACAAGTCCCTGGTACGCCCGCTGCTGGAGTATGGGTCAATCATCTGGTCTCCCTTCCAGAAGAACCACGTCAGCCAACTGGAGAGCATACAAACCCGCTTCATACGGATGCTTGGACCGAGACTTGGTTTTACCTACCGCACTACCCCGGTTGACGATGTGGAGAAGTCCTTCGATCTTCTGCCTTTGTCACTCCGACGTCATCATGCCGACATATTCATGCTCTACAAGCTGGTTAACGGGTTTGTCGATTGCCCCAACATCCTGAGTGGTATCGACATTACCACGCCCAGAGGCACCCGCTCCAGGACTATATTCAGCAGACGCTTTCTCCCAGCCTACTACTCTTACAACAGCGGAATTAGCCGTCTACTCAAGGCTGGTAGCACAGCGGCTGCTCAACTGGATTTCTTCGGCGAGAAGCCCCTCCGGTTCAAAAAGAAGGTCTCCCTGATCACTTGAGCTACCACACTCCAGCACATCTGCATATTTGTCCTCTCATCGCTGAAACTTGCTGTTCATGTTCTTTGTTGATACTCTTTTTAGTTTATTCTTCTGTTATTAATATTTGTTATTACTTTGTTATTACTATTGTTATCACTATTTGTTATTACTATTGTTATCACTATTTGTTATTACTTGCTATTACTATTTATTATCACTTTGTTATTACCATTGTTATTACTTTTCTAGTTAGTAATATTGCAAATGCCATCTAAATTGTTACACATATTTTGTAAAAAGGTGCAATCCGTTGGGAAATAAATAAATAAATAAATAAATAAATAAGTTCTCCCCCTCACATCACAACTAATTACTGGGGCTCCACAGACGGGGTTTATGTTAAATATACCTATACGATACACCATATAATAATGTCGTTACTATGCATAAAACAATTAATACGTTATTATTGCACTTACTTGGGCAGAAAGAGTAGGCGAGTCGCCCAATGCATTATTACTTGTTTAGCTTATTTTAACCTAGTCTTTATCTATGCACTATTTTGACTTCCCTCCTCTAAAATCTCAATACCTGTAATTTTAATATTGACTTAGTTACTATCCTAAATTGCTGCCTTTTGGTTTGAAAGAATCCTACTGCTTTTGAGATCACCACACCATGTTCTGAGTCAGCTATATCACAATTAAAAATTATGGATCAAGGTCTCAATAAAAACTTGACAGTAACATATTTGAAAGCTAGGCCTAATTTGTAAATTAAACTTGAATTTTAATGGATTAATAGGCATATACTAATCTAACCTAGACCTATCTCAAAATGTAAGTTATAAGTTGTACCAGAAGTGGGTCTGCGGAATTGGCTAACTCTGGAACTCGCTAACCCCATGTTAAACGTCCTATCTTCAAATTTGGTCGATAAGAGGAACTCGCTAACTTGTTCGGTGTCGGAATTCGCTAACTCCGGAACCCGCTAAACCGCTCTATAGCCGAGTTACCGAATTCCGTCCTCGTACAGAAGTCGCTAACTCGGTCCCTCGGCGGAACTCGCTAACTCCCAATCAGAAGCCTCGCGCGCCGTCCAATGGGAGCCAAGCACGAAGATTGTTTGTTGGCCAGTGTTGCCGAAAGTGTAGTACCTACGATCGTATTGGTACCATTACCATAATATCGTATCCTACGAATGATTAGGAGTAATAGAGCAGGCCCATAATTATAAAATCCCTCTCTATAAAGTGCAAGAAGCATTTCATTTAACAATTGGGGAAACAACATTTTTAGGGTATTTCGACCCCACTGAGTGCGTATCTGCCTGTTGCCAATGCGAAATTTGAACCGAAGTGCGGTATCCAGGATGGCGGCCAAAACTCTGTTTGCCCCATATCTCCTTGTTAGTTGGCCTAAAATAATAGTTTAAACGTGTATATAGGGGGTTTTCAGATGCCAAATACATTGCAACACTCAAAATTTACTTAAATTAAGTTTTGAGGTAATATATTTCAAAATGGTGCCCAAGATGGCCACCAAAAACTCTAATTTCTGAATATCTCTCTTGTTTTTTTTATGAAAATAATTATTTATACGTCTGCATAGGGGTTTTATCGGATGCCAAACACATTGCAACACCCAAAATTTACTTACATTAAGTTTTGGAGGCATATATTCCAAGATGGCACTCGAGATGTCCGCCAAAAACTCTTATATCCATATATATATTTGGTTTGACCGTTGGTATGAATAAATATATTTATATATATATATATATATATCCCTTGTTTGTTTGTTTAAATTAATTATTTAAACGTCTACAAAGGTATTTTCTCGGATGTTAATCACATTGCAACACTCATTATTTACTTCCTTTGAGTTTAGAGGACATATATTTCTAAGATGGCAATAAAAACTTTGTTGTGCGTACGTGAGTTCCGTACGTATTATTGTATTTAGTGTTTAAAACCAGTCAGAATTAGTGGCTGAATATGTGCTACTATTTTTGAAATACCAATTGAAATTTTGCAATGTTAAAGTAGAAGGCAAATTGTTAAATGTTCTCTGGTGGCACCGTATGGATAACGCGTAGTCCAACAGAACCTGTAAAAATTATATTTTAGACCATACCTAAAACCCGCAAGAGGTGGTGCATGTAAATTAAATTGAACAAAGGTACTTTAAAACATATTAATAAATATTAATAAACAATTTGGTTAAAATATTAACAATGATATTGTACTGTTATTAAAAAGAAAAATGTAAACAAGAGAATCATAAGGTATTTCTGAACTTTCTAGACTTTTCTTTTAAACGTTTTTAAACCATTCCCACAATCTTTAATAAACAAGAAAATACCGTTAAAACATTTTTTAAGGTGCAGAATTCTCTGCAAATTACGGAACTACTTTCTTAATGCGTGGAGCATATCGCACGTGAAGAAACAAGGAGCGGAGTGATATGGACCGGTGACTACTTTCTTGGACACCTATTTGTGTTGCCAGGTGATTAGAAATAAGGATTTAATAAGCAATATATCGAACCACATCGAAATCGATATTTAATCCGATAATACCTCACAGGTTATTAATAAAACGCAGATTGAACACTGATCTAATTTAGGCATGTGGGGAAGATAGGTCGGGGTTTATGAGTATTCGTGACTACATTAAGTGTATTTTTTTTAATCTTTTGGAATAGTTGGTTAAACGGGGAAACGATTTCAAAAATGCTTGCATATGCTCTTAACAAACCATCTACAGTATTCTAGCATTGACTTTATATAAAGTCAATGATTCTAGCAAATTGCTATATACGGAACAAAAGAAAAGAACATTTGGATTTGGACCTTTGACCATAGCGAAACTAACATATAATTTATGAGTAGTGACCTAAGGACAGTCATCCTGGCCTAGAGCAGAAGTTTATTTCCAAAGCAATTTATTTGGCGCCACCTGGAATTGGTTTCTCGCAAACTGTTTGTCCAGAACTCCATGTCTTGTGCCAAGAGTGTAGTAATCATTTGTCTTATTTACAACAACTGAAATTACATTTCTAGGGGCTAGTCGTCCCCGGTCGACAGTAAAGAAAATACAATGCAGGTGCAGGTCCGTCCATCCTAATCGCAAATAGTGCAAATTGTGGGGGTGACATGTCTGAACGTGAATTCGGCGTTTGCACAAACTAGAAATACCCACAACCCGACGTGGGCAATCCCTCTTGCTCACATCGCGTTGTGGGTATTTTGGATTTACTCAATCGCCGAATAACGTTATGACTCCGGCATTTTACCTAACCTGGTCCAAGAAAGATATACTATACACTATTACTATACAGTGAAGCTAATAAACAATTAGCTGCTATCCCAGTAACTGTTCCAAGGCTTTCTGTGCTTGTGGAAGCAGAGGTGCTCGTGGGTACAGAACGTCGAGTATGTTTTATCTATAGTAAAATTTTTTTTATCTATAGTCGAGTATGTTTTATCTATAGTAAAATATCAATTCAATACAATAGTGTGAATGTTTGTTTAATTCAACATGAGTAAAATCACTGAGTTAGTATGGTTACAATATCTGATAATGAATGGATGCCGATGCCTAATTGCAAGACGCCAGTAATCCTCCTAGGCTCCTAGCGCCAGACCACGAAGCTCTCCTGACAGTAACACCACCCACCACCGCGCCAAATGCTTCTGTTGTCGTCTGTCTGGAAACGGGACAGCGGAATTTGAAATGGGAACGGAAAATCAGAACGATTTCTTCTAATCACCGAGCATCTATCTATATATATAAAAGGCAAAGCCCTCACTGACTGACTGACTGACTGACTGACTGACTGACTCACTCACTCACTCATCACTAATTCTCCCACTTCCCACTTACCTAAGAGGCTGAAATTTGGTACACTGATTCTTTAGGCATTAAATAGGAAAACTAAGTGGTTTTTATTCTGATCGGACTCTCGGGCTCCGCCCCAGTGGCTCTGGAGTTTCCCATGGTAACCTAATGAGTACTCATATTTAAATGGAATT